ACAAGATATCGATAAATTTTTCGCTGTTACAATCATTGTTAATTCTGGTGATAATGAAAAGTGCAGAGCAGCTGAAGGTTGATTATAAATTCGGCACGGCAGGAACAGATTCGAACAAAAGAACGGAGCAAAGTGTATATCTGCGCGACATAATCGACTTTCAAGAATTCAATTAAATTTTTAATTAGATTACGCCGAACAACGCGGGCCGAGGGAATTTCTATCAAGGAGATTGTTTTCTGTTGATCGAACAGTAATCGCCGCCACCAGAGTCTCTCCATCGAGCGAACGCGGTAAATTATTAATCTTATTCCTGTTTTAATAAGGTTGGTTATAATGAACATTCGCAGTTTTCGTTAGCGTTCGCACGGTGATTAAAACGGCCGGCCGAAGTTTTGTCTGAAGCGTTCTGAAACTTTAATTATTACATCTTGTGTCGGTTGGCTCTCCCGGGCTTCTCCAGTTTCCCGGAAGTTTTCCGCTCTATTTCTGTAGATCTTTGTTTCTTTTTCAAACAAGTTCGGCCGAAAAGAAAATGCCGCGAGATTAAGTTGCGGAATTGTGTCGGGAACGCATGGATATTTTCGTCCTCAGGAAAAGTCCGGCGATTTTCCACATCGGCGTCCACGGTGTGACGCCACCGATTATTAATAAGATGAATCCCTGTTTTCTTATTCTTTCCCGTTGTGAAAGCAACACATTTATTTTCGGTAAAACTTGCTCGGTACAGTCATGCAGTTCGAAAACTTGCGTAACGGTGACATCATAATGCGCGCGGACGAAAATACTGTATCGGTCCCAACGGCTCGTATCGTTTTTCTTGATCACGTTCGTGTCGGAATGCTTCCCGCTGTGGCGATAAGTTGCATTGAAAAGTTCGATTTAACACCATTTTTACCGATATTCTGTATTATACAATTCACCGAATTAATTTCGCGATGACTTAGGAATGAACATAGGAACATAGGAACATTAGCGATGAACATAGGGAATAATGTGTATTAAAAATTATTAAAAGATGTCCAATAACCTCTTCGGTAAAACTAGTGTTAAATGTAAATTATTAATAATGTCAAATAGAAATTATTGGAAGGTGTCTTTAACAAAAGTCGAGAAGTGATTACATAAAAAGCATGGACCATAGGAAATAATTTGTACTAAAAATGATTAAAAGATGTCCTATATCCTCTTTAGTAAAAACAGTGTTAGATAGAAATTATTAGCAGTGTTAAATAGAAATGATTAAAAAGTGTCTTTCGACAATTTCGATAGAAATAGTTTTGAAATAAGCTTTAAAACTTGAGGATTTTAAATGAGGATTCGGAATAGCTTTCGTTGACTCGATGCCAAATTATGCGAAGATTGAAAACGAATTTTGATGAATTAAGATCGATTTGATGAATTATTCGGTCGTTCGAATAATTGTTTCGTTTGTCAAATTATTCCCTTTTCCGAAACTGTTAAAAATGCACTTGATTCAGTATTCTGTCGGAATAATACAGCAATTCTACGAGTAAAAGATTTCAAAGTCATCAGAGAGAAATGCCAAGAAGCATTCTTCTTTTTTAAGCATTTAAAAGATCGTCTTTGATTTTCTCGCGAAAGAACGGAGCAACTTCGCAAACGACCCAAGAGAATCAAATTTAGAGATGTGACTTTGCAAGGATGAAGTCTGAAGAATAATATCTATTTAAACTGGAATCGCGTGTAGAAAAGATCTGGCTGGCATGACGCCTAAATGGTATATCAGTTCTCACGGTCTAGAACCGAATGAAGTCACATCTGAATCAGAGTTCGGGATGCGCCTGAATTCGTATGAAAGGATCTAGATAAACAGCATCCAGGTTACTCTTCAATTAAGATGCTATAAAGATAAGTTAATAGTGTTGCCGTTTTCGCGATGAGAAAAAGCAGATTCACGCAACTCTCTCGCAGATGGAAATGCATAATGAGTTAGAGGCACAATGGCCTGCGATGTCTACGCTTAAAAGTATACCTAGTCTACTAATGCAGATGTCCTAATTTCTGCGCCTGTCCCAATTTCTGCGCTTCCGGACTTCAAATGTACAGAAAAACAAACGTTTTATACATAAATTGATGATTTATCAGGTCGTTCGAATAATTCTTTCGTTCGTCAAAATATTCCCTTTTCTAACACTGTTAAAACTGCACTTGATTCAGTATTCTGTCAATATAATACAGAAATTCGACGAGCATAAGATTTCAAAGCTACCAGAAAAATGTCAAGAATGTTCATTTTTGAACATATAAAAATCGTCTTTCATCTTCTCCTGAAAAAACGAAACAACTTTTCGAACGGCTGATATATTTTTTCATTAAGAATTTCTTTAGAGAGAAGTGTTACATTGTTTATACGTTAAAATGTATTAAATATATTTCAATTGTTGCTACAGTATTTTTTGACAAGTTCAAATAATATGTCTTGTCGAAAATCGGAAGGAATGCTTCCTAAATATTAATTATAATAATTAATTATCAATATGATTTATGTCGTTCAAAACGTATATTTTATAGTACGAGGGTTTCTTTAGTACTAAAAGTGATTTTAAAAAAAACACGAATCATGCACAATTTTATATTTTTAAAATAAAGCCGGCAGATTTTAGAACTCTTGCAATAGATCGCGTAATCAAACCTAACCTCACTTTGAGAAAACAATATTACGAGAAACGAAGAACAGATCGGAAACGTTATTAACGGAAGCACAGTAATTGGAGGAGATACTTATAAGATAGAAATAGGGGGCACGGAAATATAGACAGACACAGAAATATGGTTGAGCACGGATATATGGGCTAGATACAGAAACACGGGGCTCGGAATTATGTGCAGAACCTCTCAGAAAGAGCACAGAATTATAGTGAACAACTCCTTCTTTTTATTCGATTAAAAACATTATTCAATTACTCATTTCTGTCGCACGAAAGAATATTTCTAAAAACAGAAATGTCTGAAAAATCGAAATACAGTTTTAGTGCATTAAATAAAAATTAGTGTATTTAACGACAGCTTCGGCAAAGCAACAATTGGCTTAGAGACACGGAAATTGGGTCATCTGTCCTAGCAGTACTTCAGTCTTTCGATCGATGCAATGTGTATTTACGGCACGTAATGTCACTGCGATCGTTTGTCTTAATAGTTTCCACATTTTCCACGAGGAACTTCCCTTAATGCATTTAGCGCATCATTTCACTCATAAACCGAAAAGCACCGACATTACTGAAGTTTGCGTTTATATTGCTTGTACCAGCCAGCGTAATGTTTGCCATAATCCCCTTAGCTTTATAGCACTTTCATGCACGTGATATACCGGCCAGACGTGGATGACGATCTCAAGAAAAAAAAATGCCGTGATTCGATGGAAAAACTGATCTGGGAAACTTCAAATTGTCCCCTTCTCGCTCGTGCTTCGGACAAAAGAAAATCCTTTCCAGTGGAACAGCTGACACAGTTGCTAAACCGAGACAATGAAGCCTTTAGAACTTCCTTGCTCTTAATAGCTTCATAGAAGTGGGACGACGATTTGTACTTACGTTAGCGCTTCTCTACGTATGCTTCAAGACTTAAATATTGCTAACGAAGGAACGGAATTTCATTTGAATTGGAAAGAAGTGAATAGCGATAAATAATAGATGTAATAATAGATTCGGATAAAAAGTTTTTTTGATGAATCTAATGCATTTCTTATATTAAATGTTACGATACGTTAGTTTATCCGTAGACCTTAATAAAACACGTAAAAATTTAAATTAATTGTCACAAACTAGGATAGATGTCCCAGTTTCCGTGCCTGTCCCAATTTCCGTGCCTCCGGATTAAAAACGTGTAGAAGCAAAGTTTTATACATAAATTGACGATCTATATTCGTTTATTATGTTTAACTATCAACATGTAAGATTCAGGGAGAGATATCAATTGATATATAAATCTCTTCTTTTTATATATTTTTAATCTAGGCCCACGGAAATTGGGACAGCAACGTAAAAACTGGGACATCAACCCTAATCGAATAACAGTATTTATACTCGGTGTCCAAATGGACTCAAACTCCTACGTTCGAATGTTAAAGAAGCACTAAAGCAACAAATATTCTTAACTATGACATTGCAGAAATATTTATGCAATTGCACGATTTATGCTGCACGAAATTAAGTAACTCTACATATCGTTAACGTTTCAATACAATTTGATGTTATTCAATGAAAAGTACATACGATAGTGAAGAATATAGCGCATTGCATACATTGCAAACAGATACAAAAGATAATACAAATAAACAGAAATTAGACAAATTTTTAAAAATGTAGAAATGAGAGAATAAAATAAAAAATGTAAAAATGAGGGAATATAATAAAAAATGTAAAAATGAGGGAATAAAATAAAAAATGTAAAAATAAGAGAATAAAAAAATGTAAAAATGAGGGAATAAAATAAAAAATGTAAACATGAGGGAATAAAATAAAAGATGTAAAAGTGAGAGAATAAAATAAAAAATGTAAAAGTGAGAGAATAAAATAAAAAATGTAAAAATGAGAGAATGAAATGAAAAATGTAAAAATGATAAAATAGATAAAATTGATATTTTTGTTGACACGATACGAATTTTTGTCCCATGTTGAGAAGATTCTCTACACCCAAAAATATGCATCTGTGTAACATGTTTTTTAAATTTTGTCGGTAAATATATATATATATATATATATATATATATATATATATTTATTTATTTATTTATTTATGTATTTATTTATTATTATATATAAATAAATATATATATTTTTTGTGTCGCATTTTGATGCACTTATCAAAAGTGCGAGAATATGAATGGGGAACAATCTAATCGAGGTGTAGAATGACATGACTGCAATTGTATCGTAGACGAGTAGAAAGATTAAGAACTTGAAACTGTGTTGATCCACGCTGTTCCCAGCTTCAAGAGAAGATTAATCCCGTGCATTAATTAGCAATGAAAATTCCAGGTACTGTGCTTCGTGTGTGCAACGTTTGCGTACAGCAACGGCGTTGTTTTGAGCGGTTACAACGGAGGCCACGGGATCTCATACGCCGATTACGAGGCTCTCGAAGGATACGCAGCAGGATCCGCCGACTACGAAGGACATGCGGTTCTGCCGACAGTGGCGGTCCCGGTGCACGCGGTTTCCGCTGCACCCGTGCACGTCACCGCATCGCTCGATCACGCCGCTCACGCTTATGAGCACCACGCCGATCATGAGCACGATTACTACGTGAGTATCCGACAACATTAATCATCGCCTTCTAAACCTCTTCGGGAATAGTGTCATGCACTCGCGCATTCAACTGCAACTACACACTGTTAGGTCCGCGGGAAAATTGTATGCAAATGCTAGATGCAAAAGTTACATACAAAAATTAGATGCAAAAGCTAGATGCAAAAGTTACAGACAAAAATTCTATGCAAAAGCTAGATACAAAAATTATATGCAAAAGCTAGATACAAAAATTACATAGAAGAATTAGATGCAAAACTGAATTCTGGAATTTGATGTTATCAAAATGTGATGTAATAGTATAAAACTCGTTTTGCTATAAAAACTGGTGTTGTTAGCATCGATTTAATGTAGTCCGATTAAAATGCTGATTTTATGCATTTATAACAAATGAGCCTCTTAGTGGACAAGTAACATGAACACTGTTTCTAAGTATGTATTATGAAAATTTGACATTTATGTAACGCTTTCATGAAAAATTGAAAAGAGAATGTAGGCTTGTTATAAGAAAATAAAGTGAAAGAATAGTAATTATGATAACATAATTTAAAGGAGAAATTACGTTTCTTTTGACAGTCGACAGACGATATCGCTACGAATAATCAAGTGCCGTGGTTGCGCGGAATTGTAATATCTCTTTCTTGTTAAAAAGGTGACTTGTATGGAGATTAATGTAGAAACGTGATCTTAACTCGTTTTGAAAGTAGTATAATAAAAGAAACAGTCCACGCTTTCCAATATGTAGCGTATATTATTATATTAAGTATCTCCTTTATTAAAATTTTTATATCAGCAGTGCATGTCAATGCTTGGAAAAATGTAGGATGAATTGGAGGAATAGATTTCAGCAAATCTAGCGCGTCTTCCTTTTTACCTAGACTCGGGGCTCGGAATTAACCGGCATGCAATATACAGATCGCGAGAGGTACGCCTTCGAGGTCCCGTCGAGGCGTCGCTTCAAAATGGAGATATACAGTCACTCGAGAAAGTCTCCGTACACCTTTTGAAACGCAAGAACTTCTTTAAAACTGCACTAAATGACTTGAATTTTTTTTTAGATGATAGAAGGACTAGAATATTAAACAATGTTTAAAATGCTATTTTTAAATTTTGCTATTACTTGGAACGATAACAGGAAATAAAAAAACTCTCGTTTTTTGACTTTTCAATCTTTCGCCTTTTGACTTGACTTCTTTATCTTTAGTAACTTAAAATTAAGAAAAAACATTTTAGCTTTTTAAACAAAAAATTCAAGATATTTGGACCAGTTTTGAAAGGTGTACAGAAAGGTGTACAGTTTTTTCACTGACCGTAGATATATTTAACAGCGTTTAAATCATATTTCGTATTTTTGTCATTAATTCTTAACAAAGCATTTACGAACTTCTTGTTTCATAATGTATATGCACCATCTATTTCTCCAAAAGCAAACCGTAACGTGTGAATTGTGTTATTCAAAAGGTTTCAGGAAATTAATCAAGATTTCGGTGTCCCGGCTGTAACTTTGCTTCGTCCATATTTCTCTTAGTTCAAGAAATTCCATGCCGCGAAATAATCGTTTCAATCTGTTCAATTAATTCTGTGTACGGCGAAAATATTTCAGTTACATATTCTCCAAATATTCCGTGAGAATAAATAATGAACGAGTGAGAAACGATTCGTCGTTGCCGCTTTAACCGTGACACTTCTCGCTGCGAGGAGAAGAAAAAGTCCCCATTGTGAAACGAGAAGAACAAAAGTTAATTATCCGGTTAACAGGTTATAAGTACTCGGAGACATGCTGTGCACAGTTTCATAAACCATTGTCTAAAATCTACGCTGTATGTCCTAAAAATGTTCAGGCAGTTCGTTCAACAAAACCTTTGAAAGATTACAAAAGCATGATTACATTACAAATGCATACAACATCACGTGCTCGTAGGCTAAAAGTGGATCAGATAAGCGTGTTCCACTAGATTAAGCGAGCTAGTTTAGTTCCCATAGATATTTCGTAACCGTGCATCCGCGTAACAGATATCCGTCTAGATGCAGACTAGCAGACGTCGCGTCGCGCCGCGCCGCGAGAAAGCGTCGCGGAAACGGCCGCGACAATGAGATACGCCGCGGAAGGAGTTCTGATGCGGGCCACCACTTTACACAGTCAAGAATTTCAATTAACATACACGCGAGCCGGATGAAAGGCGAACTCGCAGGCGACAACTTCGTGTAAAACGCGATCTCCGATGCAAATTATACGCTTCGTTTTTCCTAGTCACGATTGCCAGAGAGACAATCGCGTCCGTAATTCGCGCTAATTCAACGAGACTGATCGATTTCTATTTAATTCGGACGCTAACAGACCCGGTCACGTTCGTTCCGCGACGGATTGTCGATGTTTATGCAAATCAACAATTTTCGAGGGTAATTCGCGAACAAGCGAGCTGACGAGATTGCGTTTTCTGCACTTGAGCTCCTATTATGCTTAGCATATCGTGCGCAGAATATTAATTTGTAGAACAGTTCTCTTTCGGTCGTCTGTGTTTACAGGCGAATTAATGATTCATTGTTCTCTATGATCTCTCGATTAAATCCCATTCCTGTGAAACAGAGTTGGACGAAATTTCGTTCGGATGACGGATAAAAGATATAAAGAGTAACGAGTCACATTTTGTTCGACAACGTCGAACTGATATTCAATCGAATAAGAATTCATTCGAATACAAATTTATTCGTACACGAAATCATTCGAATAAGAATTCGTTCGAATAAGAATTCATTCGAATAAGAATTCATTCGAATACAGATTCATTCGAATAAGAATTTATTCGTATAAGAATTCATTCGAATAAGAATTCATTCGAATAAGAATGATCGCACGGCATGTGCTGATCTATTCAAGCCAATGCTCGCAGTAACAGCAAATTGATTACTATTCCTATTCTGAATTTTTGTTATAACTTCTTCATAAAGCTCTATATGACCCTGTCTCTTATACACATCTAGATGTGTATAAGAGACAGATTCAAGCCAATGCTCGCAGTAACAGCAAATTGATTACTATTCCTATTCTGAATTTTTGTTATAACTTCTTCATAAAGCTCTATATGACCCTGTCTCTTATACACATCTAGATGTGTATAAGAGACAGATTCAAGCCAATGCTCGCAGTAACAGCAAATTGATTACTATTCCTATTCTGAATTTTTGTTATAACTTCTTCATAAAGCTCTATATGACCCTGTCTCTTATACACATCTAGATGTGTATAAGAGACAGATTCAAGCCAATGCTCGCAGTAACAGCAAATTGATTACTATTCCTATTCTGAATTTTTGTTATAACTTCTTCATAAAGCTCTATATGACCCTGTCTCTTATACACATCTAGATGTGTATAAGAGACAGATTCAAGCCAATGCTCGCAGTAACAGCAAATTGATTACTATTCCTATTCTGAATTTTTGTTATAACTTCTTCATAAAGCTCTATATGACCCTGTCTCTTATACACATCTAGATGTGTATAAGAGACAGATTCAAGCCAATGCTCGCAGTAACAGCAAATTGATTACTATTCCTATTCTGAATTTTTGTTATAACTTCTTCATAAAGCTCTATATGACCCTGTCTCTTATACACATCTAGATGTGTATAAGAGACAGATTCAAGCCAATGCTCGCAGTAACAGCAAATTGATTACTATTCCTATTCTGAATTTTTGTTATAACTTCTTCATAAAGCTCTATATGACCCTGTCTCTTATACACATCTAGATGTGTATAAGAGACAGATTCAAGCCAATGCTCGCAGTAACAGCAAATTGATTACTATTCCTATTCTGAATTTTTGTTATAACTTCTTCATAAAGCTCTATATGACCCTGTCTCTTATACACATCTAGATGTGTATAAGAGACAGATTCAAGCCAATGCTCGCAGTAACAGCAAATTGATTACTATTCCTATTCTGAATTTTTGTTATAACTTCTTCATAAAGCTCTATATGACCCTGTCTCTTATACACATCTAGATGTGTATAAGAGACAGATTCAAGCCAATGCTCGCAGTAACAGCAAATTGATTACTATTCCTATTCTGAATTTTTGTTATAACTTCTTCATAAAGCTCTATATGACCCTGTCTCTTATACACATCTAGATGTGTATAAGAGACAGATTCAAGCCAATGCTCGCAGTAACAGCAAATTGATTACTATTCCTATTCTGAATTTTTGTTATAACTTCTTCATAAAGCTCTATATGACCCTGTCTCTTATACACATCTAGATGTGTATAAGAGACAGATTCAAGCCAATGCTCGCAGTAACAGCAAATTGATTACTATTCCTATTCTGAATTTTTGTTATAACTTCTTCATAAAGCTCTATATGACCCTGTCTCTTATACACATCTAGATGTGTATAAGAGACAGATTCAAGCCAATGCTCGCAGTAACAGCAAATTGATTACTATTCCTATTCTGAATTTTTGTTATAACTTCTTCATAAAGCTCTATATGACCCTGTCTCTTATACACATCTAGATGTGTATAAGAGACAGTAATTGCTCAAGGGATGGCCAGGGACGTTCGTCCTTCGGTGTTGCCGTCGCAACAACAACGTTCCGCGTGAAATGGACTCCGCTCGAAGGATTTTTTACGCGGGGGCAGAACGCGGCTGTTCGAAACGAATTAAATCGGAAAAAGTAGAATCTAATCGAGTCTTTTCCTCGAAGAAAAAATTCGATGCGGAAACCGTTCTCGTCGGATTCGCTCGACGTCGAAGGCAACGTTCGAACGCTCGTAACATTCTGACAGAGACGGCGAACGTTTGATATTTTACGGTGGCGCGCGAATTACGCGTAACGATGAATCGAATAGAAATCCACGTTTATTAAAACCTTCGTCGAATGTGCATTACGCTCGTGTAAAATTTGATTCCCATCGGTATGTTCGGGTGATCGCACCGTATACGATATTCACCCGTTCGGTGCATATTCGATCATGGGCAAACGAGCAAATTTCTATAAAAAATTTCCCCATTTTCTAGGCACACCCGAAGTACACGTTCAACTACGGCGTCCACGACCCTCACACCGGCGACGTGAAAACCCAGCACGAAGTCCGCGACGGCGACGTCGTCCACGGATCTTACAGCGTCAACGAGCCCGACGGCAGCGTCAGGATCGTGGAGTACACGGCCGACGATCACAACGGGTTCAACGCGGTGGTGAAGAAGGTGGGGCCGGCGATCCATCCGAAGCCGATCCCCGTCGCGAAGTACGTCTCGCCGGCGTACTTCAACAGCTACGACGACTACGACAAGCACTATTAAATCCGCGATCGAAACCAACGATCCTCCCACCAACGAAACCGAATAAAAAACGAAAAATAGGCGGGGTCACCGAGGCTCCGGGACACTTTCCGGGATCGAGAGAAGGGAAGATCGGCGCTGGATATCGCGAGGCCGGACATCGGCCAGCCCGGCTGATCCTCGAGTGATGCTTTAGAGTCCCGAAATGACTATCTTAAGAACCGATCGACGCCGCAACGTCCCTGTGTTCAATTTATCAATAACAGAGCGCCCGGTGAAATTCTCCGCTTCCGTTTCCGTCGCTTCTCTCCTAGCTCTCTAGATATGTCTGACCTAACGGGTGGTGCGATTGGTCTTAGTGCATTACCATGCCGGCGTAATTCGCTGCGTTTGGTCGGACTTCCCGCGACTTCGGTGTCTTCGTAGTTCGATAGAGATAAACGGAACCAGCAATTATCGCAGACGGTTCTAGCGTCGAACGATCGGTGCGTGACTCTCCTGCAATTTTCTGACAACGCGATTAATTTATACATTGTGATTCGGTGCGTTCGGTTGTCCCGGAAGTTCGTTTCGTCGTGCTCGCGTTCAATGGCGACGCGTAGAGACGCCGATCGAAATCTGATCGTCGCAAGATCGATCTTTTACGGGGCACACCGACCGACAAGCAGCATGCGTGGTGAACAACGTTGTCACTATTCTGAAAATGTTGCCGTGCTTTTCAGGCTTCTACTCGTTCGAAAGCACCATTCGCTTGTTCGACATATTGTTTTGGATTCGCGTTAGGACACGCGCGCGCGTTCGCGTTTGTGATAGCACAATTTCTATCGTGGAGATCGGCGATTCTGAACAAGAATTATACTGTCATCTCCGTGTATAGCAGCGTATGGATGCGGATTCGGTGAACGTTTGTCGTTTGTTCCATGACTATGATGCACATTTTATGCATTTCTGACAAGATTCGTGACGGGATTTGTGGCAAGACAGGTGCTGTAAACTAGAGACTGTAAGAACATCAGTGTACTGTTTTCGATTTATTAAAATTATTGTAAGAAGAAGGGAATTTCTATACTTTTTAATTGATTCAGTTCAAGAGAACGTCTTGAATGATTCGTTGAATTCGTAGAAACGAGAATGATGGACTGTTGATTTAAAGAACGTACTTTCCGCAGCTTTTGGGACAATCTATAGTGCTTAATTCAGCGTTCAGCCACCCTGTGCACCCAAGCATTTTCGTCCAAGGTGCCAAGAAAGGTGAAATCGTACTAATGTCACGTCACGTGACACTCGACGCGAGGATAAGCCTGCTTATTTCTACAATCTCAAATCTGTCGGAAACAGATCAGTATCGCGTCAGGTCGTTCACGTAAGGTAGAAACATACTAACGTCACGTAACGTGAAATCATGCGATAGCACGTGACATCATTAGAAAACAAAGAACGTATTAATAATATCGCGTAACGTGAAATCGCATGGCACCATGGTGCTGCGAAGCTGTAACGATTTTTTTAGTAATGTCTCCCTAATTGACGCTCGGATTGTGCACAAAAATGGACAATTTGGGAAGAGGAGGCACGATTATTCGAGTCTTGCAGCTCGTTTTTATAGTTGTTGACAATTCGTAACGATAAAAATGAATCGCAAGGATGCAATCCTTGTTTGAATCCAGTTTGAATATTCAGCGAGTACGCTTACAAGTACAGTCCTCGCGCGACAGGAAGACACCTTTGTCTTTGAATTCCCCCTCTTACTAGCTGCCCCACTGATGTCGCTGGTAAGAGGGGGAATGTGAACAGGAAAGTGCCTTCTTGTCACGCGATGACTATAACTATGGTTCAGATGGATGAATCTCGATACAAGTCGTATGTCACTTAGTAATAGTACTAATATAATTGGTATTATATTTACTAATATAATTAGTATTATATTTGCTAATATAATTAGTATTATATTTACTAATATAAATAGTATTATATTTACTAATATAATTGGTATTATATTTACTAATATAATTAGTATTATATTTGCTAATATAATTAGTATTATATTTACTAATATAAATAGTATTATATTTACTAATATAATTGGTATTATATTTACTAATATAATTAGTATTATATTTATTAATATAATTGGTATAATATTTACCAATATAATTAGTATTATATTTGCTAATATAATTGGTATTATATTTACTAATATAATTGGTATCATATTTATTAATATAATTGGTATTATATTTACTAATATAATTGGTATTATATTTACTAATATAATTAGTATTATATTTATTAATATAATTGGTATAATATTTACCAATATAATTGGTATTATATTTCCTAATATAATTAGTATTATATTAGCTGTGTTACTCATTTCTGTCTATGAGTTGAGAATGGCTTTAAATGAAAATAATACACACATATAATTTAGTTGCTAACTAACTTACTTTATTAACGCAAAAAATGGTTTAAAATGCTGCAATTTTCGCGACAACAAAGCCTCGACTGAAAAAATTTTATTCTTTATTTTCAATTCGCCTTTTTATATAGAATCACCCTCTTCCCGATTGCCCCATCGACGCTGGGACACACTGCATAATGTCACGTGGAAATACATTTACTGAAATAACACGAAATCCGTCCACGCGTGACAATACATATATGAACAGCGAGCGTGACATGATCCAAATCTGTTCCTCATGGATTTGAAACCATGGAAATTGTGCGTAGACTCGCTCTCCTCGAATGTCATATGACTGCGCGTGATTTTACGCGCACGTGACATCGGTACACGTTTCTATCTATGTATACTGTCACGCGTGGACGGATATCTCATTCCTGCGATTCGACATATATGATTTCGCATGATTTCGCGTGACACGACATTAGCATGTTACTACCTTAAACGGTCGAGAAAGAAAGGCGGCGAGCTGATCGTCGGAATCGTTTAGCGGCGCGTTAATCGGCGCGGTTGGCAATCGATGGAAAAACAAAAGCGCTTCTTGTTCCGCGGAGGCTCGTGAAACCGTTCGGAACGGAGAAACTCTAGTTCGGGGAACTGATCTGCATGCGAGCACGAGCGCACGGACTTATGATCGTCCGTGGTCGAGACGATTCCGAGGCGGATACATATAATATGTAAACGAGTCACTGTTCGCTGAGTGGTAGAAAGCGGCGCTCGGCTGCTCAATGATTGCCGAGGCGTCGGATCTCGTTTTTTCCTCCGCTTTTCCACGAACGGGAATGGAGTTCGAGGCGGGAAAATTTGAGTTCCGCGTTTTTCCCCGGCCTGAATCGAATTTTAATTGCGGCCGCGTTGAATACTGCACGGATTGCGAATCTTTATGCGTTCATTTCGCTCTACGAAATTGAATACTTGCACGAAGATCGTGTTGGTTTAATTGCATCAGTGAGATAAAAAATTGATAAGATCGTTTCATCATGAATGAAAGTAACAAGAATTCAAAAACTGTGTTCGATTAAACGTTTTATTGGAGATGCATGAGCGCACGAAATTATCGAACACGACAAAATGATCAAATACCAGTTAAAATACCAAAATTTTATTTACAAACTACATTTATAATCTATCTATTAATCTATTTATTAATCTATTATAGTCGATAATATTTTCACCATATAAAATCAATTGAATTAGGTTTCTATTGAAAATCAATTTTAATATAAATCCATATTGAAATATCATTAAAAATCATAGTCTAAGTTTATGACAAAAAACCGTAATAAAAATTTGTCCTTAAATTTATTCGAAAATTTGGTTACAAATTAAATTTATAATAAAAATCTATTATAATTGAAAATATTTGCCCTATATAAAATCAATTAAATTAGATTTGTATTAAAAATCAATCGTAACATACATTCATATTGAAATAGTTAATAATAAAAACTGTAATAAAAATGATTACTTTTTATACGAGAATGTTGTTACAAATTAAAATTTTAAATAAAAATCTATTATAATTGAAAATATTTGCCCTATATAAAATCAATTAAATTAGATTTGTATTAAAAATCAATCGTAACATACATTCATATTGAAATAGTTAATAATAAAAACTGTAATAAAAATGATTACTTTTTATACGAGAATGTTGTTACAAATTAAAATTTTAAATAAAAATCTATTATAATTGAAAATATTTGCCCTATATAAAATCAATTAAATTAGATTTGTATTAAAAATCAATCGTAACATACATTCATATTGAAATAGTTAATAATAAAAACTGTAATAAAAATGATTACTTTTTATACGAGAATGTTGTTACAAATTAAAATTTTAAATAAAAATCTATTATAATTGAAAATATTTGCCCTATATAAAATCAATTAAATTAGATTTGTATTAAAAATCAATCGTAACATACATTCATATTGAAATAGTTAATAATAAAAACTGTAATAAAAATGATTACTTTTTATACGAGAATGTTGTTACAAATTAAAATTTTAAATAAAAATCTATTATAATTGAAAATATTTGCCCTATATAAAATCAATTAAATTAGATTTGTATTAAAAATCAATCGTAACATACATTCATATTGAAATAGTTAATAATAAAAACTGTAATAAAAATGATTACTTTTTATACGAGAATGTTGTTACAAATTAAAATTTTAAATAAAAATCTATTATAATTGAAAATATTTGCCCTATATAAAATCAATTAAATTAGATTTGTATTAAAAATCAATCGTAACATACATTCATATTGAAATAGTTAATAATAAAAACTGTAATAAAAATGATTACTTTTTATACGAGAATGTTGTTACAAATTAAAATTTTAAATAAAAATCTATTATAATTGAAAATATTTGCCCTATATAAAATCAATTAAATTAGATTTGTATTAAAAATCAATCGTAACATACATTCATATTGAAATAGTTAATAATAAAAACTGTAATAAAAATGATTACTTTTTATACGAGAATGTTGTTACAAATTAAAATTTTAAATAAAAATCTATTATAATTGAAAATATTTGCCCTATATAAAATCAATTAAATTAGATTTGTATTAAAAATCAATCGTAACATACATTCATATTGAAATAGTTAATAATAAAAACTGTAATAAAAATGATTACTTTTTATACGAGAATGTTGTTACAAATTAAAATTTTAAATAAAAATCTATTATAATTGAAAATATTTGCCCTATATAAAATCAATTAAATTAGATTTGTATTAAAAATCAATCGTAACATACATTCATATTGAAATAGTTAATAATAAAAACTGTAATAAAAATGATTACTTTTTATACGAGAATGTTGTTACAAATTAAAATTTTAAATAAAAATCTATTATAATTGAAAATATTTGCCCTATATAAAATCAATTAAATTAGATTTGTATTAAAAATCAATCGTAACATACATTCATATTGAAATAGTTAATAATAAAAACTGTAATAAAAATGATTACTTTTTATACGAGAATGTTGTTACAAATTAAAATTTTAAATAAAAATCTATTATAATTGAAAATATTTGCCCTATATAAAATCAATTAAATTAGATTTGTATTAAAAATCAATCGTAACATACATTCATATTGAAATAGTTAATAATAAAAACTGTAATAAAAATGATTACTTTTTATACGAGAATGTTGTTACAAATTAAAATTTTAAATAAAAATCTATTATAACTGATAATATTTCCCTCATCTATAAAGTCAACTGAATTAAATTTCTACCAAAAATCAATTGCAATATAAATTCACATCGAGATTCAATTAAAAATCATAATCCAAATCTTTGATAAAGAAGACCATAATAAACATTCTTACTCTCATTGCAATAGCTTCGAATAGAATAGTTCCAAATTCTAGCACTATAATTATTCCAGTGGAAAATTGCTGTCAGGAGCAAAAAACAATGCAGAGAACACCCCGCTTTCTGCCTTCCATACAAAAACATCGCGGCGGGAAATTACTCGAATTTCGAATCGAGTCGCGGACTGCTCAAATCTCTATTTTTCTAACTGTAACATACGGCATAGACTATTTTGTAAATAAGATTGAAGCCTGTACGGAATAAAAGAGATTGCACGAACCGCAGACGAGACTGCGACGAGGAAAAATATTTTCCCTTCGTTTGGACGTCGTGGTGACGGGATCGCGTGAAATGATTTCCCGATGCAATTAATAACGAATCCGAGATGGAATCGGGAACTTCGTTCGCTGGAGAAAGAACCGAGAAAAGAATGAAAGAAACCGATGGCGAACGAAGCAATCAATTACGCGCTCGGCGCGTTCGTTAAGGATGCTAATTTCCCGATCACAATGACTCGTTAGCGGCTGATCTCGGCGGGAGAACGTCTTAATGAGACGAAGAAAGCATCCCCGTGTCTCCGACCATGTGTTCCGACGTCGGAGACAATTAAACGATACGGGAGAGCGTGTGGAGATCCAGGAATCGCGTCGAGACTTCGAGATCTCTTGCGGGGCAACGTTCGCCTCAACAAATTACGAGCTTGATGAGTATCAATCGTGGTTTGTTTTGAATACCAATTAACGGCAGACTTTGCGCACAGTTTTTCCATTTTGTAAGGCTCGATGTGAGACCTTGAATTCAGCGCATAGATACAGGGTGTTCCATTTAAGTTGATGTTGTACAAAATCTCGTGGACGCGAGATTTGAAAAAGAGAAACAAACTGGCACATGTCCTTTAGTATTTCGAGTGAGGAGTCGAATGGCTATACTAGTTTTTTAATGCGAGGATGGTGTCAATGTTGTTTCAAGGCCATCTCGATGTTTCTTGTCATTAATCTATATTTTTTATTTCGGAATCCGATTCTACGTGAAAAAATGCACAACTATTGTTTGAAATATTTGTTTGTAAGTTCGATATTTTTTAAAAAGTAAGGCTGATCGTTCACGTTTATGTTAAGGATAATTTTTGTTTTTCTATTAAGATAAGATATATATTCCATGAGATATTCTTGATGTTCTTAAATGAAATATCGTTGAAAAACAACAGGTTACAAAAAAATGTTTCAAACAAAAGTTGTGCATTTTTTTTACGTAGAATATGATTCCGAAATAAAAAATATAGAATTGTCATTAAAAAAGTCGCATGACCTTGAAATAACTAGTATAGCCATCGAACTTCTCGTCACGTGTCTACGACAGTTTCTACAATCTCAACTTAAATCAGACACCCTGTGTCTGCTAAATTCCAGTACGAATACGTCGTTAAAATTATTTCAGAAATTTTTCAAGTTCCGTTTGCACTTATCGTTTAATTGATCGTCTCGCCTGAACAACGCTGAAGAAAATTCAAATAAAAAAGTAAACGTATTTCTATACAGGATTAAACCGTTGCCGTACTGGTCCTGAAAATTTCTAGTAATAATTTGTCGAGTATAGCTGTGTAATTCTATCCTTTAAAATTGCAATAAAATTCTAATCTCATCAATGTTTAAGCATTTAAGCAAATTTAAGCACACGATAAGCAATGATTTTCTTTCGCTTCTAAGAAATGATTGCAATCGAAAAATGTCTAATCGCAGTAACAGCGAGGAAAATGGTATGTCAAGGGATTAACAAAGAAAATATTGTATGCATATTCAGTGACTGATGCACGCGCCAGATTATTAAACTCGACGATTGTAATCGTTTGTGAACGATGGAAAGGAAAGAGCAGCAAAAAGAGTGGTTAAGGTGTGCACACGATCTACGCCGAAGAGGTTTTAGCTCGGAATGTTTGCTCTATTGTAAATTAAAACAGATATTCGCGGGCAGGATTACGGTCTGCCGAGTGCGTTGTGCACTTATTTTACTCCACCGATCGTTATCGCTCGCTCCTCGTGCCCGTGATTTCGTTCGAGGCTCCACGGACCTTGTTTTTCCTTTTCTACAATCCGCGTTGCAACAACGATCGTTAGCAGCCAAGATGTATTCTAATTGCTGCGCCGGGTTTCCCGGCGAAGCAAGCGCGCGAAACTGGAATTGATTTAACGCAATCGTCGATCGTTGCGCACAGGTCCGTCATGATCGATTTAAATCAGTCCGCCGAGAAAAATCATCTTCGAGAAACTATAGAAAGATAGCTGTGCTATTTAAATTGTAAAATCGCCCCGTAATGATTTAATATAATTAGTTCGGATGGTAGCCATTTTGTATGAAAATCTTAGGTACTGTGGAATTAAATTTGACATAGGTGTAAGCAACAATAGTATCGTGCAATAATGACTCGTAAATGTTAAGAGAATTTTAATAAACGGAAGGATCCAATGAATATTTATACGTTGCTTACGATGTGCCCATTTATTAATTTCTGCTGAATTTGTTGATAATTAATGTAAACGGAAAAATTAATCCCATTCACGTGTTTAATCACAAGTCTAGAATTAATGTCGGCTTTTTCGGATCCGTGAATTTATCGCGGAGTTCGCTGCAACAATTTCTCACGGCCGACGTTACAATCAATGTCTGCATGTCGACATTTAAATGCCAAATTACTCAGACATTGATGTTCCAAATGATTCAGACATATAAATTCCAGATTATTTTAAAAAATGCGAGCCTTCTTTCGGTAACAACATTTTTTCAAATATTATCGGTTTGAAAGCAAAACTGTTTCAAAAAGAAAATTTTATATAGCTGATGGACTTTAATGAATTTTAAGATTGAAAATGCTTCAAAGAATTTTAGAAAGACTGTTAGTAATTGGAATGATCCAAATTATTTTATAGTATTATAAAATATTTCAATTAATATTTAGTAATATAAAATCTTTGATAGTATTTAGTAATATAAAATGTTTGATAATATTTTAGATCAATACAGAATTTTGTTGCTGTTCTGCGTGCACATAAGTGTAAAGTATCGTGGATTAATTACGAAACTGCGAGACACCCGGTATGAAGGAGTTCATTGTTGCCTGTAAAACAGGTTGCGTCACGGACTAATTGCATCGCAATTTTGCCAGAAGAGGAGAGATACGTTGACAATATTCAAAACCATCTGCCAGCGATACTATTATTCCACCAAGATACCATTGTTTGCCAGATAGCAGCCACATTTACTCCAATGAAATGAACTCAGCCGAGTTAAAGCTGGAATGGATCTTGAATGGAATATGCTGCTTTGTGGATATTGTTTAAAACCATTTCTGAAGCGCATGTATTTATGGACCTGGTACCAATAAACTGTAATATCCTTTTTAATTCGACAATTCTTATTTTATATTGTTTCAAGAAACCTGCTAGTTAATTATTTTAATATTAAATTCAGATACTTCTTTGTCACTAAATATCATCTAGTAACTATTTAATAGAATAGTATTTTGCTATTTAACACTATTCCTACCGAAGGAGTCAAAGGACATCTTTTAGTAACTTGTAATGGAAATTATCTCCAATTTTCTATGTCTTCTACGTAATTACTGAATTGCGGATTTTTATGCAAAATAAAAATTTTCTGCGTTTATTGCGAAGTACAGAAACTGTACAGATATTTATTTCTTTTTTTGATCATTTTAGTGAGTTAAAGGGAACAGAATAGTATTTTTAAGTTCTTTAAATGTGTTCCCTGTTTTGTATTTGATCCAGTCGTTTTTGCAATACATGCTTGAAATGGTCATCATATATATCATAGTCATCACGCAAGTAATTCGGTAAATTAAATAATAAAAAAGAAATTGGTAAAAATAGTGTTAACTACATTTACACTCAATAACATTCTATTTAGAATTCTGATTTTTATTCGAAGAACGACACACATATTTTTGTATACGTCTTTTATTAAATTACTGTTCAATAAATAAATGAATAAATGAATAAATAAATGAATAAATAAATAAATGATTAAGTAAATAAATTAATAAATAAATAAATGATTAAGTAAGTAAATGAATAAATAAATAAATGATTAAATAAATAAATTGAACAAAATAACTCACCCATGATTCTGTGAAGATTTTGTGGGCAATAATGCTGGTGCTTTCGAACATGTCTCTTCCTGGTCCAGATGCGAAACACATCTCCTTTTTCCCGGGACAAGTGTACTGTTCTGAGCAATTTTTTCCAGAGAATTCGCATTTCGGACCTTTAGTGTTTGGTGAAACGTCGCCCAAATTAGTAGAAGCAAACGATGCCACGAAGGAACCCTAAGTAGAACAAAGATTTGTCAATTTCGAACATATTCATACTAATTCCACAATTTATTGAGTTACGAATCAAATATTAAGTTGCTCGAAAAGTTTATTCCAAATTTTTTTATGTCTTCAATGAAACGAGTTTCATGAAATGTAAAAATAAACTTCCTGATCAACCCAATATACAGGGTGTTCCATAATTATGTTAACACCCGGAAAGGAGTAACATCTGAGATAATTTGATAACAGTGCAGAAACCATTATACAGAACCGCAACGGAACAGTTAAGGTAAAAGTACCCATTATGAAACACCGCCCAATTGTGACCTCTCTACTTGAAACATAGCATAAATAATACAATAAAAATTAGATAGAGCATATGAAACTGAATGTGAAAATTTTACCCATATTTTTGAAGATCGTTCTTTATAAATTTACTCACACAAATACTCATACGTAGCAATCAGGTGTTGAAAAAATGATTATTGTTTCTAAGCAAGGACATAGTGTTCCATTATTGGTACTAAAATTTGTTCATTGCCTCAGTTTATGGAACGGCTGCTATCCGTGTTTCATATTCATTCCCTAACTTGGATCGATCATTTCAAATGGGCGTGACAAAATAAGGGTGCATTAAATATGGAACCCGCAGGCAAGGAACGAAAATGGTGTTCCATAATACATACGCGCTCGTACTTTAGTATTTTATTGATATTATTTTTTATTCTTATTAAGAAAATATTTCAAAGTTTATTACGTTATCTAGAAATATCAATCTATCGAGCAATAGTATAAATATTCAACAATAACACTTTTCAGTTGTAATAAAATAGATGGTAATCTTAAACCCCTGAAAAGCGTTCCATAATAGGAACGTTGTAATTTGATTACAACGAAAAGTGTTATCGTTTGATATTTATACTACTGTTCCATAGATCGATGTTTCTAAACAACGTAATGAACGAACTGAAATATTTAGTTAATATGAATAAAAAATAGTAAAGAACGAGCATGTACCTGTTATGGAACACCGTTTTCGTACCATATCCCCGTGTTGCATATTCAATGTCCCTATCGTGGAACAAGCATATCTCCCTCAACCTCAACAAAAACAACACATTTATATATATTCTGAATTACAAGCATTGACTTGAACTGTTTATTGAGCCTAAAATGTTGTTTATTATTATATCATTTAATGTATTGTTATATCCTATGATAGATTATTACATCTTTTAATATATTATTATATCTCTTATATACAGAGTGAGTTGCACAGTCCATATAAATGTTAAATTAATATTTAAATATTAAATACAAAACTTATAGAGATTTAAGGGTGATGATGTATTCATCTTTCTTTTAAATAGTGTAGTTCTCAATATTTCAAGGTCGACTTCCTTTTTTTTGAATGGAGAGCAATATTTTTCTCATTGTAGATCCAAAAAATATTAAATTTCAAGTAGAAAAGAATAAACCTCTGATAAGCCTAAAACTAATGGTTAAGGAGATTTTAAGATAAGTCCATTGAAGGATGTTAACCACGTGGTATCGTCAGAGAAGTTCTTCACTGTCTAAAATCTCGTTAACAATTAACTTTAGAATGAACATAGGTCTATATTTTTCCACTTAGAATTTTATATTCTTTTGATCTACAATGAACTAAATATGCTATTTTTAATGACACTGTATACAAAAAAAGCGAATACGTCATCACCTTCCACACTTAAAACTCTACAACTTTTCTGTTTAACACAGTATTAGATGCGTAATTTAAAAATTATGTAGATTATGCAAGTTAAACGGCTTACCCTGTATATGCATACAAGATATAACAGTTGAGTTAGATTATGTTCCATATTAGATTATGTATTCTACTTATGTTCCATAAATCGGGACAAGAAACAATTGAAATACACAATAAAGAACAATACGTTCTCGCTTAGAAACGTCCATATCCGAACAAATATTTGTTTTTACAGCTTATTATAATACATATAACATTATTCGCGTGAGTGAATTTATAAAGAACAATGTTGAAAAATAAGGATAGGATTTTCACATCCACTTTTTCATATATTCTATCTAGTTTTTATGCTACTATTTTTTGTGCTACTGTTTCAAAGAAGGATCACAATTGAGCAGTATTTCATAATAGATATTTTCACCTTATTCAGAGGTGAAAATATCGCCTGGGTACTTAAAGACCCAGATTGTCAGCTTGAGACTGGTACAAGTCATAAACGCAGAGCTACAACATCAGACCACGGCCCTCACCTTGCCAACCAGAGAGTCCTTGTTCATCGCCTGCTCGAACAGAATAGAGGCGTAACCAACGTTATCGCTGGAAACCAAGTGGTTCGTGTTGTTCATGCTAGTAGGATGCACTGGGAACCAGTTGATGACACCCAGCGGTTTGTTATCTGCGCCGACGAACTGGAGTTGCGTCAGGGTCTTGTCCACGTTGTACTTATACCTGAACAAGATCGGATTATGTCAGTTTGCATCTACACTCCTAGACAACAAGGTAGCACGCGTGTGCTATCAGTCAGTTCTCAAGGATAAATTAAGAAATGGGGGGTTCCTCAGGCCATTTGAAGTAACTTTTTCCTTAGCGAAAATGCAATCCGCGGCCTTGTTTACGAGTTATTAAAGGAAAATATTAACCAATGAGAGGCGAGATCAGCTGGCGCGAGACGGCCGAGCCAATGAGCGAAACTGGGCTTCGTGCGTTACTCGGTTCAGCTGTTTCGAGCTCGTCTCTCATTGGTTGTTGTTTTCCTTTAATAATTCGCGTAAACGAAGCCATGGGTTGCATTTGCGCTAAGGAAAAAGTTACTTCAAACGACCTCAGGAACCCCTTATTTCCCGGAAGTAACATCATTTTGGGGCACCCTGTCTGAAAAAATACTCATATATATAAACTCTTTAGTCTCCCACTTAATTCATATAACAGAGATTCTTCTGTGCTTGAAACATTATGACGGTTCGAATACTCGGACGCTCGTAAGATTTCGAGCTACTTGAAGCTGAATTTTCACTTCGAAAATGTTTAAATTACTCGAATATGTTCGAACAGATCTCCGATTTCCAAGTTACTTGAAAATATCAATTTTAGCAAAATTCTTCCTTAGATAGGTGAGATGTATCAGTTACTGTGGGCCACTGTGTGTGTGTGTGTGTGACTACTGTCCCCTCGGATAATTTTTAGACAATAAACAATTTACAATGTCTTATTCGATAAATATAAAGCTAATTATTTTCGAAAGTAACCAGCACCACTACCCTATTTTCCACTGCAGGACTTCAGTGCAGCTAATATTATTATCACTGTCAAAAGTGCTAAATAATTAACAGCGCATACGCAAGAAATATCTTTTGTTCACGAAAATTTCAAAATGGTGAGCATATTAACACTTTGACTACGGATGTTTTCTCGCCAAATTCTCACCGTGTAGCGGTAGTTAGGTATTCGGCATGAAATATTCAATAATTGTTTAATAATCAAAAATTTATAAAAATAGAATCGGCAGGAACATAGAAGGAACAATATCTAGCAATAGATGACGCGTAGCAATTATTCCCCCTAATTCGTAGAAAACGAGTTTTGTCGGATTCAGCGGTTTGATAATAATAAGCACGAAACGTGCGTTTAGGTGTTTCCCGCATACAATGTGTTAACTGAATTAGTGAGACGTGTAGTGCCTGATAGCACTTACCTATAGTCCTCACGCGACAAAGAGGCACCTTTGTGTTTGGATTCCCCCTCTTACTAGCTGCCCCACTGCCGCAGCTATCGGTCGCTATTGGTTGACGACGATTTTCGTTGCCGTTTTCTAGCCAATAGCGACCAATAGCTGCAACAATGGGGCAGATAGTAAGAGGGGGGATGTAAACACAAAAGTGTTTACTCACGCAATTCGAATGTTCAACAACTCACGCAATTCGAATGTTTTCAAGTAACTCGCATTTTTTCGAACAATTCGTCGAATAAATCGCGAATCTCTGATAAAAGGATCATGTGGTTCGATTCTTTCTAGTCGAGCTCACCTGTCTCTCTCGTGTTTAGGATTATTCAGGTACGCAAAAGGACTTCTGTTGATGTTGGCACCCAGGACCTCACCGTGCGTGATGAAGATGCGACCTGGCACCACAGCTTCGTGCGCTCGTTCGATACTCTGCAATGTTTGCGTTGACAGATTAATTTGAATCACATTTTCAAAGTTCGTAATCGCAGGTTGATGAAAATCGTTCTAAAATCGTGCTACATGTACCAGATTATTTTCATGGGATATAATAAATTGGAGCACTCTGTTTACGACCTAATGTTTCATCAATTTTTGGAATGAGGAAAATGTAGGTACCGCAAACAAAGGTAAGAACGAATGGAATCGATAATAAATACAAGGTATTTCAATTGTATATCAGATAACGAAAGTGACTGACTTAAGACGGAAACGATAAAACAAGGATTGCAAATGCACTTGCTCATTATCTCTGCTTTTGCTAACGTAAAAATCTATTCGTCTATTCATCTATTCGTCTATTCGTCTATTCGTCTATTCGTCCTCTACTCCTCTACTCCTCTACTCCTCTACTCCTCTACTCCTCTACTCCTCTACTCCTCTACTCCTCTACTCCTCTATTATTTATTTATTATTTATAATAATTAATTGCATAGGATATTTACCCTAGCTATACCAGATACCAAAGCATCGAACGTCTCTTTAACGAATCCAAACGTCGTCAGGTCGAATAGCATGTCCTGCATGAATCCACCCGGCGTCGAATGTGAATGCGTTCCGCTAATCATCACGTTCTTCTCAGTGTACAAGCTACCAAACTGCATCTGCAGTTTCTGCAGCACCTGCGATAACATTCAATTCCGAATCAATGGTTTACCACAATGTAAAAATTCGTTGCTACAAGTTATAATTATAGTTATTTAATCATAGTCGCTA